TCATTCTTGCTCTCTCCATATGTATATGGAGCACATTTTTCCTTAGATTAATTCCTATTTATTTGATTTTTGGCACTAATATAAATGATATTGCATTATTGGTTTCATGTTGTGTTTATTACCAATGTACAGAAAGATTATTGAATCTTTTATATTAATTTCATTTTCACTACCTTTCTCTGATCATTAATTAGCTGAAGGAGTTTTGTTGTTGTACCTGTTGTTAGTTCCTTGTGATTTTCTGCATAAGACAATCGTGTTTTCTTTACAGGAAACTGAAGGCCGTTCTTTCCATCTGTGTATGTTTCTGTTTTCTTGGCCACCTTAATGAGCACCCAGGACTTCCACTGATGTGATAATTACAGTGCTGAGAAGGGACATCCTTGCTTTGTTGTTCTCAATCTTAGGAAAAAAAATCACATCACCTTTATCTTCAGAGAGCGTGATGTTAGCTCGTGTGGGATCGCTCTCCGACAGGTACGGCACAGGGAGAGAGGCCAGGACCAGCCCCTGTTCCTCTCTTAGGGGCTGAGCGGGATGGTGAGTGTCGGCGACTCAGAATCCAGAGACAGGTCACCAAACTTTAGTCAGGCTCAGGAAGTTACAATAGGCCTCGTCATATGTTATGCCACAATTATGAGGGTACCGGAGACCCAACAAGCTGGGGTCTTTTGTAGATGCTTATTATGTTGAAAACTTTCTCTCTATTCCAATTTTGTTTAGAATCATGAGTGGGTTACACTTTTGTTAAATGCGTTGCAGGGTCTATTGATACCATCATATGAGTTTTTTTCCTTCGTCTGATTGGTGTGATAAGTTGCATTAATCAATTTTAAATATATTAATTTTAAAATTGTATTATTGTTTGTGTGTGTGTGTGTGTGTGTGGTGCATGCATGTATGCACGTGCTTTTCTGGGTGTGCTTACCTGTGCAGGTGTGTGTGGAGGTTAAATCTTGACTTTGAGATGTCCTCCTCAATCACATCTCCACCTTATGTTTTAAGAAAAGGTCTCTTCACTGAACCTGGACCTGGCCATTTCAGCTAGACTAGCTGTCCATCTAGCATCCTGGATCTATCCTCTGCAGATCTGGAGTTGCAGATACTAGGCCCCATGCCTGTTTTTTTGTGGGGGTGCTGGAGAGCCCCACTCAGTGCCTCATGCTTGGGTACCAAGCACTTTTCCTACTAAGCAATCTCCCAAGCCCAAATTTGAATATTTTATCAGCCTTTCCTACCTGGAAAAATCCTGCTTTGTTGTGATGTACAATTTTAGATATATTGTTAGGAACTATTTGATATTGTTTTGCTGTGGATTTTTGAATTTACACTCAAGAGTGTCATCTGTTGTTTTCTACTGCCCTGGGCTTTTCTTTGGCTGAGATATATTATCTGACTTACATTGGGTTGGGGAGGAACTGGCAGGTGGCAGTATCTACCCTTCCTACTTGTGAGCATGGCACAGATCTGTTTACTGGAATCTTACTGGCCTCAGAGAACAAACCTGGCAATGATTGCTCTGAGTTTTCATTTTGGAACAAGTGGTAGAGTGCAGGCATCACTTGTGGTTTAAATGTTCAGTAGAATTCACTGGTGAAACCATTTGGGAGGGCCTGATGTTTTTTGAGTTGGAAAATCGTTACTTCTCCAACTTACGCAATAGATACAGACATACCCTGATTATCTCTTTTTCCTTATAAGAGTTTGGGAGAGTGTGTATTTCAACAAGTTGAATCTTTTTTTCTAAGTTTCCAAATTTGTGGGCTAAGAGTTCTTCATGCTGTTCTGTTATTTGTTGTGTCCACCGTGATCTTAGGGATGATCTACCTTTTGTTTCTGATAGTTGTAAACTGTTCCTTTGCTCTTTTCTTGTGATTAGTCTAACTGAAGATTTATTGGTTTTTTTGTTCTTTTTAAAGATGCAGCTTTGGTTTTCACTGAATTTTCTCTCTTGCTTTCCTATTTTCTGCTCTTCTTTCTTTTCTTCTGCCTGTTGTAGGTTTGTATGTAG